TATTCAATCGCTCGATAAGCATGCCTAGCCGCTTTGCCGTCTTGAACTCGCCCATTAATCCAACCCAAGTTGGCGCAAACCTGGCCGGGTCGAAAACGCTATAAGTGCTTATTGGACTACAGACGACTAGCAGACGACTAAATCGAAATGGCGGTCGAAATAGCCAATAGGAAGATTATCGGCATTTCGGCTCAGATCAAAAGAATGCGCTACTTTAGGTTTGTTCGCGTCGCATGCTCCAACATTTTCCAATATGCTCCTATCATAGCTCCTACTCACTCCAACGTGCTTGATAGTCAAGCCTTATCTCGGATCTACAATAGGGTTTTAAGCCTTAAGTCATAAGAAATGGACGAATCATAGTCGATTGTTCTCCTCGAATTCGATTGTAATTGGTCAGTTTCTTACGGCTTAAGTCTTAAAACATATATTGTAGATCCGGACTTAAGGCTGCAGCACAGAGTCTGTGCTCCCCACTTTAAGCCATAAGAAATGGACGAATCATAGTCGATTGTTCTCCTCGAATTCGATTGTAATTGATCAGTTTCTTAAGCCTTAAGCCGTAAGAAATTGACCAATTGCAGTCAAATTCGAGGGGAATAATCGACTGTGATTTGTCCATTTCTTATGGCTTAAGACTTAAAATCCTATTGTAGATCCGGGTCAATTTCTAACGGCTTAAGACTTGAAACACCTATTGTAGATCCGGACTTAAAAAACTCACTCATCATAAGCGCGTTCTGAATACGGGCCATTAACAACAATTTTTGTAGACTTCTAGCAATAATAGCAATGCGAACAGACCTATGAGGTCTGTTCGCGTTACTTGAAATCTCCAAAAATTTTTGAACTTAAAATGAGATAGATATAATATATTTGGATGTGTAAAAGAGAGAAAGCGAAGATGCTGAGTGCAAAAAATGCATGCAACGCGAACATACCTATTGATATTTTGCCCATTTCATCGGTGTTAATGGCTCAGGGGGTCGATTCTGTATCTTCAAACAAGGTGAAAATGACAAAAGTGAAGGCCATCACACGTACAAAAATTTTAGTCGGAATCGTAAGGTCGCAAATCGACCAATCACAATCAAAATTAAGATCTCGCGTTTTTAAACGCTCGACTGTAATTGGCCGATTTGCTTACGGCCTTACGATTCCGACTAAAATTTTTGTACGTGTGATGGCCTTGAGCAAATTTACTAGGTGTTGACCAATGAAATTATCAGTATTCTAGTAAATTTGTTCGCTTTTGTAATTTTTACCTCGTTTACTTTCTAGCAAGGACACAGTCAGACACTGTGTAACACAGTGAGTCGTTTTATCCTTGTTGTTTGCCAACGTTAAACAAGGATGAAACGATTCACTGTGTTACACAGTAGGTCTGTTCGCGTTGCATGAAATCCCCAAATATTTTTGCACTTAAAATGAGATAGATATATATTTGGCCTTGAAAAGAGAGAAAGCGAAGATGCCGAGTGCCAAAAGTGCAAGCAACGCGAACAGACCTATTGTCTGACTGAAGCTGCGGTCCACTTGACGCTACGAACGCTTCGAAGCATTCTTTGATTAGTCAATTCGTAAAATTCTTTGTTCTGATTGGTCGCTCAAACGCTTCGAAGCGTTTGTAGCGTCAAGTGGACCTCAGCCTGTGTCCTTGCTGGAAAGCAAGGCTCGTTTCAAGATACAGAATCGATCCCTAGTACGTCTAGTGATTTTTTCCTAGAATGTGTCGGTAAGGCAGAATGGCGGTCGTTCGCCCGATCGGCTGCGCCGACGACAATGGCGGCGATGCGTGTTCACGGATAGAGGGCAACGGCGGCGGTGCGGCGGCAAACGGCGGAGAGGCATCGCCCTAGATAACGGTAGAATCGCGCAGTGCTGTCGCGTTGCTTCTCGCGTGAGTGTGAAAATCTAGGAGGCGGGGAGGCATACAGGAAGGGCAGGCGGCGGCAGGAGAGAAAGAGAGAAAAAGAAAGAGAGAGAGTGAGAGAGGCGCGTCCGTTCGTGTAATCAGCGTCGTCGTCGCCTTCTTCAAGGCTCGCTTTGCCCTCGTGAATCGCGGAACGAGTCGTGTGTGCCTCTGCGGATCGATCGGTACGCACAGTGCCGATATATCAGGCGTGCCGTGTGTGCGAGGAATCTCTCGAGACGTAGACGAGAGAACCCGGTAAACCGCATTCGTCATAACGTGCGACGCGAATTCCGACCTTTCGTCAGCCAATGCGGAATCAGTCGGGCTAGTTGGTTGGCCAGCGGCAAGAACCGTTCAACAGTGAGAAGCGGACAACGCACAGCGGTTTCGTCGTGTCCTCGGCTCTACCCATGGACTCGTGACAGGGTGGAGACGGAGAAGCCGAGCCGAATAAAAAGAAATAGAGGAAGAACGCGCGGGTCGGCCAGGTAGCCCTGATAATCGCCGAGTTCTCGTCAGTCGTGGCGACGAGGAAGAGACGGACGAGCGGCGCGCGTGAGACGGGGACAACGAGGGACGCGAGGAGGAAAGTGAGAATATACAGGCTTGCCTCTGCTTTGCGTGTGTACGTGTATGCGCGCTTGAGAGCCGCTGAGCCGACTTGCGCGAGCGACAGAGACGGACAATAAGAAAAAGAGAGAGAGAGAGAGAGCGGGAACGAGAGAACGGCGGAGAGAATTATCGAGTGAATCCCGGGAGATACTGTGTTCTGCGAAGAGCGGAGAGCGTGGGGCATTCAGGAGGTACGAGAGGTAAGGACTCGGCACGAGACGGAGCGCGGCTCCTCTAAAAAAAGAATCTTTCCCTCCCTCCTCCCTCTCTCCTTCCCCCCCTTTCGAGAAGGCGCCGTGCATCGTGCCGTGGCGTGGCATGCCGAACCGAGACCGGAAATCGTTCACGGCGTCGTCGGCGACCGCCCGCGCCTTCGCGTACGCGCCGGGAATCGGAAGGCGACCACACGGTTCGGTTCGTGACGATCGGTAATGGGTGCTTTCCGTTTGGTGACACAAGGGTCGTTTTTACCTTCGTCACTCCCCGAATGTCAGAAGGATAGAATGATGTTTATGTCGATCCGTGTCAATAAATGGAAAGCGGCCAACGAATTCTCCTCCTCCCCTTCCCCTTTCCCGGAAAAATTGTCAGGCCTGTTCCTCTCGGTTGAACCCGCATAGGTCGTCTTTGAGGGAAGAAGGGAAAAGATGAATCATGCCAAGTCGAGTCAGAAAGAACAGACTTGCGCTCCGAGACGGTTCGAGATCGGTAAGCGCGAGTCTGCGGCACCGGCGGGATCGTTGGTTGCCTCGAGTGTCACGCTTTTCTCGCTCGGTGCGAGCCGCGTCTCGGGGAGGAAATCCCTCGGAGGGAAACGGGCGTTGTTTCTTTCTCTCGTTACCTCCTCGTGATTTTCCCAAGCGAGCGAGACAACGCGTGCGAGCGAAATCGCCCGGCTCGCTCTCCTCGTTTCCACACCGGGCAACTAGCGTTTTCTCTTACGATCACGGCCCGCCCGAGCCGCTCGCGATATACGCGACAACAGGAGTTTTGCGCGGACCCGTGGTTTTCATCGAGGATTCGGGGAGAAACGTCATACGGAGAAACATCACGCCGGGCGATTTAGACCGATCCTTCGTCTTTCTCTCTCTCTCCCTCCTCTGTTTTCGTCCCTCCCGTTTTTCGCACGTGGATAGACGAGGAGACGCGGTTGCACTGTAATTGGTTACTAACGAGCACATCTGTAGGAATATCTTGCAGGGTTTCCTGCATGACTAATGCGACGAAGAAATAAATCGCTTGGAGGTAGATCGTCGGGGACAAAGGCGAGGTTCTTTTCGGCCGTAGTTTCTTGCACTCCCTTTCTTTCTCTCTCGGCGTTTAAAATAAAATAGACGCGTGCCTCTCACGGAATATCTGACTAAGGGAGGAGGAGGAAACGAGAGTGACTGTACGAAAATACAGGAAAATATGAGAGAAAAGTAAAAAAATTAAGTCCGATTAATTCAGTCTTCTTTGTCTACATTTTTTTCTCATTTATCTTTGTTTCCGTTTACAGAGGAAACGGGTCTGATTGTACCATAATAATTGAAATGTTGATAGATTCAATCATAAAGATATAGTTGAATCTATCAAACATTCTAATTGAAGTAATCAGAAATTCAGTTACGATAACTAGAATTCTGACTAGTATGATCGGAATGCGTTTTGTTTGTACTTCTTGTTGGTACAACCACGCTGGAAACAGAGCAGTTGCGTTAACTGCAACTTTGATTGAAAATAGGCAAACAGAACTTTCTGGTTTGTCCATTTTTCAACCGGAAATTTTTCTCGATGTGTAATATATATTTTCTTTCTATGACTGAAAAAGAGCCTGGTTGCATTAATTGGAATTAATTGGTTGAAAATAAATTAGAAATTGTCTGGTTGAATTTATTTTAATTTTAATTGAAAATAACTAAAATAATCAGAATTCTGATTGATCAGAATTTCTAATTCGTTCAGTTTTAATCAGAAATTTTTCTCAGTGCAGAAAAAATCAAATAAACTCAAGCTGAAATTACCTTTTTATAATCTACCAATTGTTAAGCTCAATTGAAAAATTTGTCTATCAGGATTCTGTCGGGAGCATAAAAACGATCCCTGCATCCGTTTAATGCATCAACTTGAAGTTATAGGGTCTTTTAAATCTGAGCGTTGACACGAATCTCGTCAATTTAAGCCCGTAACGCGGTGACGGGAGAAAAGAATAGGGATTAATCATTTTAATATCGAAGAGAATGGGGGAGAGAGTCATACGCGAGGGAAGCAACGCACTAGAGAGAGAGGGGGTGTATTCCCATCGCGAATCGCGGATCATGTAAAACTGGAGCTTAGGAATAAAATTGAAAAAAATCACTCTTCGACGCGCAGAGCTTTGGAATTTTAAAGCTGGACAGCCTTGATCCACTCTCTCTACGCTGTATTTTTTTTATAGAAGACAATTTTGGTGATTGATCTATGGCCTTTTCAACAAAGATCACGGAGAACCGCATGGCGTGTTCTAATCTGTAGTCGACTCACGTGAGTCATCGGCGTCGCACAGGAAGTGGCTTCTGGAAAGAAAGAATGTCGACATAATGCTGATCGGGTATTCTTATTGTACGTGAGAGATTCTGTTTAGACATCGACCGAAAGGAGAAATATTTTTTGTTTATAATCTTTCTGCAACAAAAGATGTGGACAAAAGACGATTATTTATGAACACTACGAACAATCGAATGCCGTTTGTGTAATATATATTTTCTTTCTGTGACAAAAAATTAAATAAAGATGGCTCCGCCAATGATTTACGACCAATTTTACGTACATTCGCTAAATATTGATCTACATTCATATGGATAATTAAACATATTTTGTGTGTAATATTTGTTAATGTTGACACATTGGCTATATTATCTGGAGCTGCCTTTAGTTACCTCTTGATGCCCGTTTCTATACCACATTGAAAAAAATATTTCGTTGAAAATGTACAAACCAGAAAATTCTGATTATATCAATCAGAATACCAGTTATCTCAATTAAAATTTTAGTAGATTTAACCAGAAAATTCTAGTAGAGATAAACGGAATTCTAATTGATTTAATTAAAATCTTCTAGTTTATTCATTTTCAATTAAACATTTTTCTCAGTACAATGTAGTTTAATTTTAATCTCGGTTTAATTAACTCTTCACCTTTTCTAATTCTAAGAATTAGAAAAAGATGAAGAGTTAGTTGATTAGAGATTAAAGTTGACCCTTATCATACAAGGTCACTAGTGACCGAGCGATTCCTGTTCGTGCAAGTTTCTTTAAGTTTTTCGATAATTATAAATTATACTATATCTTATTATTTTCCAAAATGAAGTTTCAATATTTATTCTGGAAGGTTGAAGGTATGTTGGTGAATTTTAAGAAATTTTTTTGAACCATTCTGAGGCGTGTTCCGATTCCCATCTGGGTGCTCCTTAGGTGTCATGTCATCCTTGTTTAACAAACGTTAAACAAGGATGACATGACACCCGGGGAGCACCCAGGTAGGAATCCGAACGTGCCTCTGAATAGGAAAAAACGGACGGATTCTAATGACTCATGTTTGGACAATTGTACTTTGTAAGGAAGATTAATCTATATTGGTAGAAATGAGCATGAGAAAAATTTCTGGTTAAAAATGAATAAATCAGAAGATTTTGATCATAGATCAAAGAATTCTGGTTATCTATATTCTAGATTTATAATAGATTCATCCAGAAAATTTTGATTTGTCCATTTACAACCAGAATTCCAATTAATGCCATACTCTTTTTCCAATGTATCACCTGCCAATTGTTAATATTTCTCATATTTGAAACATTTGTTTGTTAGGATTTTTGTTGGTCATAAAAATAACCTTTTTATATAAATTCGTATTTATATAAAATTTCTTATTGATTTCACAAACCGAAGGAATATCCGTCTCAAAATTTGCACGTCACGACCGATATTTTTCCCGATAACGAGTAAAAATTTACGATGGGAAAACGCGAATTCAATTCAAATGCGGCCGTATAAGTATGCTTCGAATTAATATAATGCCTCGTGAGATTTGCTGTGCAATTCGTGAGCACGTTTCGTCGATTTTACTCTTGTTCGTATTTGCTCACGAGCATTGCATTATTTGTTACTTGTTGAACCGTAAATAACATTAGATAGCACGTTAAACGCTGCGGCGTGGTGTTAATACATGTTGCATTAAACGCAACCGATGCACTTAAGAAGTTACCGTCGCAGTACATAATAACATAAGGTTAAGCCACTTTGAATGTTTCGAAATATTGTCGTAGACCCCCGAAGATAAAACGAAAGCTTTTACGGCGCAAAATTGCAAGGAAGTGCAATAATAATTTTCACGGGGTGGCTGATGTGCTAATCGACACGTGTATATCAACGTGACGTTAGAGAAAAACCAGACATATAGTTAGCGCCTACGATATCATCTCGTATCGCATAAAAACGATAAAAAATTTTATTTAAGCGATAACTCGTCAACACGGACCATTCAACCTTGAAAAATGAAATAAGAAATCTTACTCTACGTTGTTTGATCGATGGTTACGAACGATTATAAAGATTGATGTTCGTATTTACGCGGTTTTATTCTTGTAATAGAGTTTCGTGTTTTATATATAAGTATATTTATATTGCTTGTTTCCAAGATGCCTAGAAATATTACACGAACACGCTTTTTTGTTATACAAATGAATATAGATTTAGGTAATTTATAATACGTAATATAATTTCCATTAATTTTATTTTTCTAGAATCTTGCCAACAAAAATAGATAAGTAACAAGTAATAATAGTAAAATAATAATAGTAATGATTGATACGCCTTGTCACCGTGTCCAGTAATTTTGTGCACGGAAAGATTTTGCCGAATTATCTAAACATTTAGGTAAATATAGACATGAAGATAATTTTATTCAACCGTCATCAAAATAATTATATAGGACGCTCAAACTGGTTAGAATATCAAAACTTCTTGCAGCATTGCTTATCATGTTTAAGTTTCTTGTATTAATTGTTAGCGTAATTATTTTGATGACGATCCAACATTGTTAAATATCAAAGGAGCAATGATAACTCAATCTCTTGAGCTAAATAACATTTTTGTTATTTTTATGTGTGTCGAAATGTAAATCAATCCATTTCTGTGATTAACTTCAAAGTAAACAACGTTTATATTAATGAATATTCTTAATAA